GAGAGGGTTTATGTGTCTCAGGGGCTATTAACACCCATCGTTTCCACGCCACCCGCAAGACGAGGTCGGCGTGCTGTGATCATTAGGGCCAAGAGGAAGGGTGACATAGGCTGTGAGTGATGTAGGTAAGTCGAGTACGTGGAGTGCACGTTACTGTTGTTAGGGAGTTGGGGCGGCGTTGGCCATGGAAGACGGAGAGCCCATGTCAACTTCTTTTGACAACACAGCGTTGCTAGGCAACCTGATGGGCTTCTTTGGCATCGATTCAGTGATTCGTATCGACAACATGTGCGAGAATAGAACTCAAAATAGGTCTATGTTCATCTTTGTCCAACCATACCGATATGTGTTCACGTACCCTCTCTTTCCAGGCGTCTCGCTGTACGACCAATGCATCCCGCTCCATAGTTGAAAGTGAATGAGTAAATGCATATCAATGTGGCCTCCAAGGGTAGTGTGTCTTTACTTCCCAAGCGAAGTAGGGGAGAGTAGGTGATACACACGTGTGAATCTGCCGCGGAGAAAGCGCCAGTGATCGCTGTCGTCAAACATCGTTTCACTTGTTAACTAGCTAGATCCCCTAGAAAAGGCAGTTTTATAAATATACCTTTCTTTTCTACAGTTTCTATGGTGGGCTTTGCTGTGCGTTCCCTTATATTTCGGTGGATAAATCTGCCTGAGTGTCTGTTTTCAAGAAGTATGTTCCGCCGCTGCTGGAAGTCTGCTTCAACAGGTTTTCTTTGGTGATACCCTTCTGTGGATGGATCCACTCACTTGTTTGTGCAAAAGGACACCGAAAAACGCGTTTTCGTTGCCTGCATCATAACAGGATAAACGCGGACCCCGGGAGGGTGCGTGAAAGAGGGGGTGTGTTGGGTCTACAGATGGAAACTCATAGAGGTTAGTAGACAATGCGGGTAAAAATGAGAACTGGATTTTTTCTTAAATTGTAAGATGATACTGAAGCCAATGTGAGCGCTAATAAGGAAGTATCAATGTGTGGAGAACTCGAAAAGGCGAAACTTGTATGCTTGGTCGAAACCATGATGGCTAGGAGAATCATTTGCAGTCCTAATCGGACCAATTAAGCGTCTTCAACGTGCCAGGTTTCACGTACATCAGATTATCAACCCCAAAGGATTTTGCTGAATTAATTTCTGAGAAGCCCCAAGTCTGCCGCAAACAGTTGGAAACGAGATATAAGGGCCGTACGATGAGAAGACGGTCGCCTCGTTTTTCAGCAACATCTCTGCCCACTAGCGTACCCACGACGCTAGCCAGCTCTCCAGAAATACTCAGCGGATAGTAGGAGCGTTGGCAAACCAGTCAGTTGATGACAGAGAATTTTTGAAGGATGCTTAAAAGTAAACGTTTGTTCTCACGTAATGGGCGAGGTAGGAATAATCGGATTAGCTGACCCTTACCACACCATTACTAATGACCCGTAGGAATTAACTGTGAATGAATCAAGCATCATAAGTGGGCTGGAGGCGTGCATAAGATTAAACGAATTTCTACGAGGAGATGCATCCACCCACCCCCCCCCCGGTTGTATGCGCAGTCATGAAAAATTGCCCGGTAACCCTAACACCGAGGCTAGTAACCAATGGCGGAATTTCCACTTTTGAAGATGTGTGGGAACAGCAATGGGAAACTTCTACTAAAGAGCATGTGATCGTGTGAGAATCTACAGTCGTTGCAAAAGTGTTTGAAGTTGAAATAACCATTCAGGGCAATATAGCTAAAATAGGAGGGCGAATGCCTCCCTAGCGGTTATTTGCTCGGCAGGCTAGTTAAAGGTGTTTTATCATCACAATCGTGATTACCGCCGCCGCCGCCGCCGCCGCCGCCGCCGCCGCCGCCGCCACCACCACCACCACCACCACCACCACCACCACCACTACTAACATCGTCATAATCGTCCTTATCCTCATCACAATCCCCATACTTCTCTTTTCCCCTTTCTTCTTCTTCTTCTTCCTCCTCCTCCTCATCCTCCTCTCTCCCTATTATTATCATCATCATCATCATCATCATCACCACCACTATTATCATTATTGTTATGTGAAGGTAGATTCTACAGCAAACCTCTCCACCAGATGCTCCAGCGGTTGATTCACCTTGCCTACGAGGTCGGAAGCTAAATTCAGAGAAGTTTTATCAAACAAGGCATACATGGTAGCAAAAGCCTCAGACTCCTGGGTTCGCATCTCATGCCTCTTCAATCTTTGAGTTGGAGGCGGCTGGCTGACTGAGGTGCACTAGCGAGTCAGAAACGGCCACTTCAGTCTCCCCGTTGGGCTTATGAATTTCGTCAGACCTTTTTAAAGAAGGCATACGGACTTGCTAAGGGTCGATGCGGCTGACTCTGACGCCATAATTCCCCGTTTTTGGAGTATCCAAAAGTCTTCTTATTTCCCATTTTTTTGTAAATTGCCTCAAAAAAGGACAGACCCCTGGCAGAACACACAAAGTTGAGCTAATTATGCATACAGTTTCAAAGTCAGTAAATAGTCCTGCCCGCACAGTTACACCCACAATTTTGTCTGAGCCCTCGATAGGCGGACGACAGTGCGGGTTACATTCCACCCTTCCAAACGCCAGCATACCTCTCCTGACAGAAGAAACAGATTCTGAGAGAGGATCGATCGGTAACTGGAGACTGTTTTAGGTGGTGTGTGTATGAGGTCTAAAAACCAGCATGAGTGTTGTAAGGTCGACTTGAGGGTTGACAGTGATTTACTCTACTCCCTGTTTGGCCGAGTTTTTGTCATCTTATGACGCGCCCGCGGGGGTTCGATTAAAAAGTGAGCCTCCCAGCCTTTATTTCGGCTATCTGGCATATAAACAATCTAGGTTTTCAGTTTTGAGCTTTTTAATCTCCTCAGAAGACAGAGTGTGGAGAAAATTCCTGGGGAGAAACTATCTCAGCTTCCTTTCCGAAAGTTGGTGCGAGTGTTTGTGTTGAAATGCAGCCGGTTCAGCTGACTGCCGCGTAATATTCGCAAGCCGCCAACAGACAGTCAGTAGTATAAGGGTACTGATCGATTCCTCGTACTGTCAGCATGGGCGTCAGCTAACAGACCAGATACGCATTTCATCGATACGTACAGGATACCCCAAAAACTGACAAATGATATCCGAATAGATGCTCCATTCTTTACAGATTTAACACAGTATTCTCAGTTACGCAAGGCAGAGGAAGAATTGAACAAGCCAAATCATTAAGGAGTGCAAAGATGTTTGCCTAACCTACTCTTAAAAAAGCTGAACTGTTAAGCGAAAAAATGTCGTTAGAAGTTTAGGGAAACGCATTTGAGCCGCAGAGATGGTCTAAGAGGGTATTTCAAACAGATCCACCAGCAGCAGTTGGGTTAACTCATGAAATGCCAACCGAAAGTAAAAAATGCATTTTCGTTTCGAAAAGATTAATTAAGCGGGATTATAAAACTAATCATTATGCAGTGTAATCCTATAATAATTCAGTTACCCCAGGACGCCGGCTTTCGAAAAAACCCGTATTCGGCTGCATACAAAAGCCAAATTCTGGAAAAATGGCCCCTTAAGAAGTAGGCATTTTTGTTGTTGATTTTCGATGCTCACAAAATTTCAGTTATATCTCATGGAAAACATGTATAAAATATTAATTTCTTTACGCATTCGGTAGAAAATTACGTATTTGTTCAGTTTTATTATTGAAAAAAGGTATAATTTGGTTTTAAAAAGTTTCTAATTGTGAGACTTTCTTAAAATCGTGAAATGACCGTTCATAAAACGTCATCGCTATGCATTTACCAATGTGACTTGTAAAGTTTACAATATGGCTCAAATTCACTGTTAAATTTTATGAACCCCATATGGTCTCCTCTTAATGCTATAGAGAAATGTATGGTTTTTCGTACGCGCGAAATATACGTCTCGTAGTTTTGGAACCCTGAATGCAAGCGTAACGACAGGTCGGGTTCAAAGTTATTCGGAAAATGGAAGTTTTTGAAAACGAAACTATAATTTTTCTTTGAAGAAGTAATTTTCTACTGAATGAGCAAAAGGATGAATATTTATATGCATTTTTTCCATGAAATAGAAATGGATATTTAAGGGCACCAAAAATCAACGAGAAAAATGCATGCTACTAAAACAACCATTTTTTACAGAGTGTGGTTTTTGCATGCTGCCTGAATGGAGTTCATCTGAAAGCGTGAAATATTATAGAATTGTGCTGCGTGATGATTAGTTTTACAACCCCACTAAATTAATTTTTTCCGTAACGAAAACGCATTTCGATATTTCGGTTGACATTTCAGGCGTTAGTGCACCTATTGTAGGTAACCTACCCTTACTGGAAATTGAGACATGTCTGGAGCAGATGGCATTATCCAGAATGTCCGCAATCGGCCCTTTGGCAGGCCGCGAACATTACTGAACCCCATAATACATGAGATAATGCCGTTCGTCCATTGTATTTGAAAGCCCTGACGTTTGAAAAGACACGCTTCAAGGTAAGTTCGTACTACTACAAGGGAAGGTGGTCTCAATAATGTTTACTTGGGACGTGACACTACCAATGTTATGGCATTGTGGTTTAGCTTACTATCAAGAGACTTTAGTGGGCCTTTGGTCGGATCTTATTTCGTAGCCGCGCCTGCAGTAGACAAGCCCCAGCCGTCTGTCACAGGGGACGGTGGTAATCGGGGGTTTAACACTCACTCCTGGCACCTAACCCTAACCTTGAACCTAACCATGACACCTAATTCTTAGTAGTAACTCCTGACATTAACCCCTAACCCCTGACACTAACCCAAACTCCCCACCCCAACCCTTACCCCTAACACTAACCGTCACCTCCAACACTAGCCTCTAACCCCAACCCCTAACTCCCAACAGGTGCGGCTACGAAATAATATCTTACCGAACCACTAACTTTCGATGCTACCGTGGCTGGTTCCATTCACTCGAGCCTTCTGCAGCAGCCTTTTTTGGTGATTATTGAAGGGACATTTAAAGATGAGAGCATTTATTTTCAGCAGGACGCGTCATCGTCATACTGTCACAGGTATGACACGCAGCCAAGCGGGCGGACCGAACAAAGGGGTCTTCATAGACTACCCACCTGCTTCCCCAAACTCCACTCCTATTGACCCTCTCAAGGCTACTCAGAAGAAAAAACCTACGTCTCAAGACTCATGAGAGTTTTCTGGCTTAAAGTGGTCACTGAACAGGAGCACTTTCATGTCCAAAACGAGATGTTTCTGCGTGTTTACGACTCCACCGTTTCGAGTTATCAGTGGTGCCTAGACCGGGACGGGAGACGGTTTTGAAACAGACATAACATACCCATGGATCCTACTACATTGTGAAAATTTGATGTATTTTGGCGACCTCTGGCCTCATACAAAGTCGGAGTGTGCACGTACTTTGCGACACATTCTATACATATATAAGTGTCCAAAGTGGATCCACTGGTCGATGTACGAGACGTGCTCGTCCTGTTGTGCCTTGAGGCCCAATCTCGAACCCTCGCAAACAGTCGCACAGCAACCAGCGGTATATGCAGAAGTCGATGTGGTGCAGTCGAGAGTCGACGCTATCCATATACAGTTAGTGACCTAACTGATGAAATGTGTCGAAATTTACGGGTGATTGCCAGTCACTCGTAAACCGACACCATTTCATGAGTCCGATGTCTATGTTAATTAAGTACAAGTTTAAAAGAATTAAAAACATAAAAGAAACATTAAGGGCAATGTTGCGTTATTTAGAAAATCCGATTTGTTTTGAAAAGCGCAAAATCCCGAAAACGTCAAAAGGGCTCTAATTAAGTAAAGTTCGTTTTTGGATGTATATAATGTATTCTCATACCAAACACGTAGTAAATATGAAAGTAGACATAAAATAACATCTAAAAACAATGTCTTAGTGAAGTTTACATCTTAATATCGTCTAATAAGTAGTTTGACTTCATACATGACGGCTTTTCAACTGCCTACATTCTGGGTGCAGATTTCAAAACAATTTTCCAGTGTTCCATAACTTCCTCTACTTTTTAGAGTAAAATCAGATGAGTTTCAACAGCAGAAGCTGGATTTTGCTTGATTTCGCCGATGGGGACGTCGTAGGCTCAAAATTTTTCATAAGATGGTATGCCATGAGGCCGGTTGGTGCCTAATAAATTTAAACAGAACTGACAGGCGTGATCGTAAACATACCATTTTCTGTTTATAGAGAGAAATTTTCTTTTGTTAAATTAATTTATACTTTTTCTTCGTTTTGGATTAAGTTGAGTTTCAGACCAGCCTGGAAATATTGCTGAATCCTTCATGATTTTCAGTGTTTTCACCTGATCTTCCATAAAGACAGATTCTGAATTACCTGTCTGTTGAGAACTTTAAATTAAAATTATTCTTGAAGGCATTTACCGAATTAGTGAGTGTTCAGGCGCTCCTTTTACGAAGATGGTCGTTCGGGTCACATTTGAATACTTATTCAAACATCAGACTTCATTTTCGAGAAAAATGTCTGTCAACAACGAAAATCAGCAACGAATATGCCTTTGATCAATAAAAAAACTTTTCTTGTTAAGTTACCTCTTTAAAAAGTGATTTATTACTGCACTCCGTTGGCGGATCTCTGGGTACTTCGCCTTTTTGGACGGTGAGGCCAAGTAAAAATTTGACACTTTTGGCCGTTTCTTTCGCGCTCCTGAGAAATACTAATATATTTCTACCGTAAACGCAAGAACATGCCTGTTTCTATATAGTGAGGCCATTTTCACCGTTTCTGCTTGCTTCTAGAATCCGTTCTTCAATTATGAATGCACGGCAGAGCGCCCATATAAATACTGATATTTTGCTGAAACTATCAATGTTTTGCTCGTTCTATTTCTGAATAAGATATGTACAAAAGCTAAACTACACGACAATTAGTGTTTCATATGTTAAAATCTGGAAATAACCATTCCGTGGTGGTCATCTATGCGACATCAGGTAGAATTTTTTAAACGGCAAAAAAATTCAGCCCACTTAAACGAAGGAATC